AGAGAGGTACCTAGGCAAAAACACAGACGCTTCATAGACGTTCAAGATTTAATTAATAAAGTCACGATTAAACACGAAGAAGACACATAAATCGTTAATCGGTTTTGTGCGCTTACATTATGGACGTTGTAAACAGAGATAATGCACCGCGTAATATCCCGAAATATACAATTTGCCCCTCTCGTTCCATAATCGGTCTACTTTGTAACAATATAAAACAATTATTTACATCGACGACTAGGAGGATTCGAGAACGATGAAAATGTCCAGGAAACTTAGATGCTAGATGGAAATATTCTTCTGTGAGTGTACGTGTAATATGTATATGTGAATGATTGTGTTCGCTTCTGCTTTTTTTTTTTAAATATCCGAGCTTCTCTCTTTTTCCTTCCGAAATATATCGTTGCATGCCGAACAAAAATCGTATATAATCTAAATAACGCGAAGTGAATCGAGATGATACGTTTGAAAACAGAATATACAAAATAATTCTAGTAAGTGGATTGGATTATAACTTATAACTCTCTTCCAGAAATTAAGTTATAGAAAAAAAAATGGTAGAGAAAACTTTTATTGTTTAACAAACACTTGCAAGACGTTTTTGCTTTTTAAGTAGAAAATAGTTATGATCCAAATTTAATAGAATCATTCTGTATATTTCGCGAATGAAATCAATGTCGTTGAATATTACTCGATTATGCGACTAAATGACGTATTTAAAATCTTAGATAATTTAAAAACTTTAGATAATTATATTTTTTTAATGCAGACTGATTTTTCGTAACACGTTGCTTAAATCGTGTGCAAATTGATCGTGTCGTTCCGCTTTGACGATCTCGACGAAGGTTGTACAATTTGCGAAACATCCGTCGCGATTGACTAACCGTTAGTTAATTAGATTAGGACGAATATCAGTCTGACGAAAAGGCTCGTTACTAAAACGCTCAGGCACCGATCTTTCTTAGAAAAGCGTAGATACTCTTATCTTCCCCGGCTTCATTTATCAAACTTATCGGCTACTTAAAGATACGACAGGTCAGAAATTAATGGAAAGTTGAATGAGAATGAATATTTGGAGTAATGCTTTAATCGCTGTATATAATCTCTTTGATATCTATTCTGAAACTTCTTTGTATGATATGAATCGTATACAAAACAAACATTTCAAAGGACTATTCACCGGCGCGCGAATCGATCGTACAAATATCATACACGAACGCAACGATTGCAAGATGTACATAGTATACATATAGCCGACACGAGTGAGCCACGCGCGTGACAAGTGACGGATTTGGTTTGGTATTTAGTGTGTGTCGAAAGAGAGCTCTTTTCTTTTTTATTTAAAAAAATCGATGTCTGAGAAATGGTGTTCACAATAATGTAGTACAACAACGTAACGGTATTACATATAGATAATATATATATAATATATATTTATATAATATTATTTATAATAATAGGTAATTTCTTTTACCACAGTATAACATGGCTATATACAAATATTACAAATTTTCTTTCATTAAGCCCTCACGGATCGATCGATCGATCTAGCGCGAGAGTAGGCAGCGACGCTTTTTCATTCGCTGCTTACTTTATTTTCTTTAATTGCACATTACAACAGGCTTGCGATCTTATTAATCTTAAGCCAGTCTCTCCTCTCCTCGATGCGATAAAACAGAAGGAGAGAGAGAGATAGGGAGAGAGAGCGTGAGAGAGAGAGAGAGAGAGAGAGAGAAAGGGGGGAAGAAAGAGAAAGAGTGAAAGAATGTGAATGGTTTTGGGTGCGTGTGATATAAGGAGAAAGAAATAGGAGAAATGTTTCCTGTTAGAAATTAAAAAAAATCTGGATTTGGAATTTAGAAACATATAGAAGATAGAATGAAACAGAGTACATAAAATTTGTTTCGATTGAAACTTTAACGTGTTTCATAGCAAGTACGAAGACACGTTCGATTTGCAAGATTATACATTTTAAGTTGTAAAATCTTCCTGAGGATACTTTGGTCGTGCTATATTGGATCATCATGATCTTGTTTGAAATTAGAAAGTACGATTCAATAAGAACCTCATTTCACTTTTTACTTTTACAAAAGAAATTTGTTTTTAGAAAATTAATTTATATCATTATTCGAATTGTGTATGCAATACCAAACAAAATATAAAGTTCGTTATATTTATATTCTGTCTTTGAATTTCATCAAGCTTATTCGCAAGCTTATACAAATTATCAAAAAAAAATTCGGTATTATCTGTATACAGAACTGTAAAATTTTTAAATATTTTTTTTTGTGAAAAATTAATTCTTTTTCTACAAAACATATCTTCAGATATCACATATCTCTCAATCACGGTCACCGTATACATCAAATTATAAAAAGAATATCATTGATTTTAGTATCGAGGCATCGTTCATTATTGATTTACGAATAATTGCGAATTAAATATTTACTTTAAATGAGATTGAGATGTATCAAATATTTACTAGGGAAAGACATTTGTCAGAAGTTTTATAAGTAAGAAAAAATATATAATATCTGAAAACAGTGTTTGTGCAACGATAAGAGAGATCTTAATATACAAGCATGTGCATAGTTCTCATTCAGATATTTAAGGCCGATAACTCGATACTATTACAATTATACTCCCATTCGTTAAGATTAATGCGAGCTGAAATTAGCGCTGTATAGATCAGATTATATCATCTATCTATTTAACAATCATATTACAATGTTTTATTTCGATAAAAATAATACCAATTTAATTGAAGATTGATTAAATTCGCTTAATAGCACAACAATTAATACAATAACGTTTTCTTCATTTTCTTTCTATAATTTTTGCCATATATTGCACACATTACCCGTAATCTTTATTTTGAATATATCGCAGCTTTAAATATATTGAAAGGTAGTAATGTATATTTCGCAACATATGTCAGATATGATAACAGGAATAAATCTCTTTCTTTTTCAAAGATTCTAGTTAAAATCTCTGTGCTATTTATATTCCCCTTTGCAAGCCTTTCGTATTTACGGTTAAAATGACAATGACAAATTGACGTTACGATCTTGGTTAACATTTAACTTGGTTTAAACCTTATGTTAAACGACCGACGATCATATATATATACGTTTATATTGCACGATTATGAGTCGATAGCACGATCTTACAATCTATGACGAATATCTACGCGCTTTTGGCACCTCTTGCGTTTGCATATACGCGGACGAGACTTTGCAAGTAAAAGAGAGAGAGAGAGAGAGCAAACGGGAAGAGAATTTCATCTACTACGATAAATTTTTGGATGTAGCAATGTTTCAACTCTTGATCACATCATATTTTAAATATGTAAAGATTATTGTTAAATTTCTTCCGTTAAGATGCACTCTCTGCGGGTTTCTCATGTGTAAAGAAGCTCTTGTGATATTTTTTTTTATGAAGCATGCGCCAATTGATAGCATCTAACAGTGATAATATAAAAAGAGACATACACTCTCTTTTACACTCCGTATGTACAAGAGCTTCCTTAGCACCATTCCGTATATTTATTCATCTTTGCAGACAGAGGATGATCTATATTTATAAGATATGAATGTGATATTAACGATAGCGATTTCATTGCGATTTACGCATCTGTTTAAATTTCAATCTATTTAATATAATGTGAAAGAGGTGGATGTGTGCTGAAATATGCACCGTAAGATTCAGACTACGCTATACCATAGATTCTATCCGCGTTCTTCGATATGCCGTAGTCTGATTCCGCAACACTAATCGCCTACATTATGTCTTTAACTAGAACGAAGAATTTGAATGTTATCGAGAAAGATATGGTACGCTACTTACAATGTGTCTAGATATAAGGATCATTTTCTTGATTTCACAGTTATTAACAATTATCTTAATTTTACATTCGATTAATTATCGAATGCATATAAAGTATAATGTATTACTTTCAAAAAACAATTGACAACCGCCGAGGGTACACGCATATGATATTTTCTTCCTATTAGTTATTATCACTGCGTTTATTTAGCAATGAGAAAAGCAATTAATAATTAACAAAGAAATTATAATTAACCATTCTTTAAATAAAGTAATAAATGTGGAAATGATTATCAATAGCAGGATTGTGCATGTTTGAAAAGTAAAAAAGCCCGTTCTTGAAAAACTTTCTATGCAGTCTCTTTGGTGAGATCACTTTTGAATTTCTTAGATTTTTTTCATAGTTCAGTATCACAGATTCGACAATAATTTTTTCTGAATATTAATCAAGCCTAAATTTATTCAATAATACAATCCTGTATTGCCTAAACTAATTCATAGCATAATGCGAATGCGGTATTAAGAGTGAGAGGAAAAAGTAACAAATTATTTGTATGGACTAAGTATTATTAACATAAATGTTTATGATTGTAAGTTGCTCGCAAGGATGTAATGAGGAAAAGGAAATATAAGAATCTAGATCGCTGTTGGCGTGTACCGCCGATAGGCATCTCCCTCCTCTCTCACTTCTATATCTTTATACGTTTTTAATTACTCCTCGTTGAGGAGCATAATCGATCGTCTTTTCTAACTTTAAATTGGCCTAAACGGTAGATTACTTCACTATAATTGCATTATGATAAAAGCATGTATAAATCAGTAAACTTTTTCTTTTGTGCTTTTTAGAGATCATACATGATACAATGTACAAAGTAGTGTAAAATAAAAAAAGGGTTAATAAAGATTCATATATATTACTTACTCGTCAAGTAGCAGTTTATCACGAGCGGGAAACAACTTTCATTGACCACTGACCTGTTTCCAGAAAATATTTCGAAAGATATTTCAGATACGCAAATACACTATCCATAAAAACAATACAGATCTGATATCATATATGGATGAGATTAAAAAATGCACAGCATTTTAACGAGATAAAAATATTCGCGTATAAATCTATTTAAGTTTATACGCTGTAAATAAAATTTACAAATATTTATACATATTGACGCGCGTTTCCCTGCAAATCTGCCAGTGTCCAAGAAGTGGTACCCCAATATGTCAAAGTGTCTTAAGAATTAATCATGACACCAGGACAGAATTTATTTTATCCTACGCAATAGTCGTCACGAGTGTTGGTAAATGAGTAAAATTTCTTCTCTTAAAGTCGATCTAATCTAAAGTGGGCTTCGGCGCTGGAGTCTGATATAACCATCGTAGGGTCAGCCAGCATTTGTAGACCATCCACATCGATCGGATCAAGGCCCTGTCTGAGGGCATCGTCCGATGGAAACATTTCTGGGTCAAAATCACCCATCATTGCCGTTCCGAGGTCTTTCACAAATTCTGGATTCGTAAGATCATCCGCACCAGAAAAGTCTGTAATACAATATTTTTTATAGAGATTTCTCTTGTTTTATAATATCTAAGCACTTGAAATATTTTCTTTAACATTTTATAATTCGAAAGATTAACGGTTAAACGATCTATATTTATATATTTTTGTTCTTGTTTAATATTTCTTTAATGTAGAATTACTTTCGTTTATTGAAGTATTAATATATAATGGAGAATTATAATTCATTTAATCAATTATAATATAATGAACAATTATCTTGAATAACATGGATTACGATTTTTCTCATAAATGTCAAAAAATGTGAAATAATCAAATAATTTAATCAAAAATGAATAAATGGAAAATTTCATGCCTTCTATTACAAAATGCAATTTAAAAAATCTAAAAACATATCTACAATAATACCTGTGAGAATGATTGTGGGTGTATTTGGAGTCTGCGGTGTTAGCTGCTGAGTAGCAGTGGTCGTCGTCGTCGTAGGTTGATACGCCATTTGTGGACTCGTGCTGAAATATCCCGTGTCTCCACTGCCTAATTCGCCGACATTAATCACGTCATTCTAAAATATAAAGAATAGATAAAGAATTAAATAAAGATAAAGAATATACAATACAAATGCAATGCGAAAGTATATTAATATGAATTTTTTGTGATAATTATTTTTTTCGTTACTTAACGTAAGGGTGCCATTTCATTTGTACGTTTTCGTTATAAATAAATTTTTCAAGCCTGTTCATTGGCTATAAGATAGAAAGATTCAAGGATCTTTCTGTCTTGCACACATTTATTGTACGAAAAACGCACAAATGAAATAGCATCCTAATATTTTTACAGAATTTACAATAAAATATCGATTTTATCACCTGCGTGTAACTCGTAGTATGATTTGGTGACCCGATAAACGTCCCAATCGTGTTCGTCTGCACTGGCGTGTCCATCTGAAGTAGAGAAAAAAAGAAAGAAAGTCGTAGAGATGAGCCTGGCATCATTGAAAAGCCTCGGAAGAATTACCGCAGTTGCGATCTAATCGGATTCATCTTTGACTGAATACAACGTTGATTCCTCTCATGTGTAACACGCGTCTCCAGCCCCAAGTGCTTATTATAGAATAATCCGCGAGGAACATCGTATGCGCGGGAAGGAAAACAGCGGAAGAAGAGTATAAAGGGAGAAATAAATACAATTAAACTGTAAGCTCGTAAGCTCGTGCCGCTCGCTAAAGATCGTCCATTCTTCAACTTCGGAATCTATCATAACATTAGTTACTGTTCGATTTCCGGATACTCCGTTCCGCTTAATAGCTATTGTTAAATGAAATCCGTTTTCGCTTAGTCGACATCCACGATAAACTTATTGCTTTGTCTTACGTCTATTATTTCACGTACTAGTTTCCAGCTGGCCGCATTTATTCGTGCTTATTTAACTTATCCTAAAATTCATGATTCTTTCTTTGAAGAAAAAAAAAATGGGTTATTATCGTTAAATCTTTTAGATTCTCAGATGCCGATATTAAAGGTAATATCGAACAATAATCCGTGCGAATGAAGTTGTTTAGTTTGAATGATCATTTTTATCTCGTAAAATATTATCTTTTCTATTCCACCACTTAAATTGATGGCTCGGCGCGTAACTGTCCGTGCAATATCAAATGGTAATGGCTACTTGTGCGTGTAACGACGAGGAAATAAAAAGGGGGTATCGTTAAGGCCCTCCGCGATAAAACTGGTTCTGTAGCTCAGCACGCACGACATCGGCAACTTTGGCATATGCATATGTAACAACGCGTAACCGAGTTTTGCGGAATATCAATCAAGAATACGTTACAAATTACGATTATTATTAGCCTTCTGATTCGCATAAAAGTACGCTATTATGTACTTTTTCCCTCGTTTACGATTTTTTAACGGCACATTTAAAATTTGTCTTCGATCGGAGTAATGTTTTAAACATCAGTGTGCAATGTATAGTGGCATGGTATTTCATCGCGAGTAATATTTTACCTTAATCTACAAATATTTCACCCTTTTGGAATCTGATATTTTTCCTTTGCTACACGTGCAAGCAAATTCCACGCACGGGAATACATTTGGCACGTTTATATGCAAACTTCTGCTGTTTGAAAGTACCGTTTGAAAGATACGACACTTATATAAATTCATCGTTCTTTTTTTAACGTATAAACTAACAGGTTGCATACTGTAAATAAACAGGTTGTAAGATGTCCTATCAATTATTTGCCTTTTTCTTTAACTTGATATATTCATTAGGTATTTAAATCCTACTGTG